AACGACTCTGTTAGCTTCTATATCAGTCTTTTCTTCTTAAAATCCCGGTTTTAACCATTTCTTAGGGAAAGTACTTACAAACACGAAATAAACATAAATCAGTCTAAAAGTGGATAGAAGTACTACTTAAGGTCTTAACATACGTATATTTAGGGGCTCGAATATGCAATATTCAGTGCTCATCAGAAGCCATGTCTAGCTTCTTCCAAATAGGGTATATGTTTTCATGCTTAAATCATATTAATATTGTTCTTATTCCTAAAAATGAGTCTCCTACTTTAGTTCTCATTACCGACCAATTTCTTTATATAATGTTGTTTATCGAATTATTACAAAAGTGATGACTAATCATTTGAAATGTGTTGTAGATCAAGTTATTAGTGAATCTCAATCTGCATTTATTACAAGGCGTCATATCACCGACAATATTCTTTTTTCTTATGAGATTCTTCATTACTTGAAAAATAAAATGAAGGGGAGGAAAGCTTTTTTGGCGCTCAAGCTAGATATGAGTAAAGCCTATTAGCACAAAGAATGGAAGTTCTTATTCAGTATGCTTAAAAAGTTGGGATTGAATCACCATTGGATTAAAATGTTATACTCATGTCTCTCAATAGTCCCATACTCTTTGGTTATAAATGGCACTTCAGTGGGATTCTTTTATCCATCGCTTAGGTTGCGATAAGGTGACCCTTTATCGCTGTATCTTCTCATGCTTTGTGATGAGGCGTTCTCTATAGCTCTCCAGAGGGCCCAACAAGGAAAAGATTCTTTTAGGGGTGAGGATTTGTAGAGGTGCACCATATATCTCTCACTTGTTCTTTGTAGATGACTCTATTGTCTTTTGCCAGGCTTCTGAATTAGAAATTGGATCTCTAAAGCACATTCTTCATGCTTATGAGATGGCATCGGGACAAAAAGGTGAATTTTGAAAAATCCAGCATTTTCTTCTCCAAGAATGCTCCCATGTAATTACGGCGTGCATTGAGTCAATTGTTGGGATTGTCCGAGGAAGGGTTTAAGACAAAATATCCAGGGATGCCAGCGATTATTGGCCGGTCCAAATATGATGTGTTTAAATTCTTGCTCTAACAAATAAAGGATCGTTTAGCATCTTGGAGGCAACATACACTTTCAGATGGTGGTAAGGAAGTCTTGATAAAGGCAGTGCTTAATACTCTTCCAACCAATATTATGTCTACTTTTCGGTTACCTCGTACTTTGTGTCTTGATTTATTGAAGCAGGTGCAATCATTCTGGTGGATGAAGCATGGTCTACTAAAATCAATTCATTGGGCTACATGGGATTTATTATGCTAAAGTAAGAATGATGGTGGGTTTGGGTTTCGTGGCCTTAAAGCTTTCAACATGCCTTTGTTGGTTAAACCTGCTTAGAATTTCCAAGTTTCTAAATATAGAGTGGCTTATTAGTTGTTCAAAGTGAGATATTTCCTATCATGTTCCTTTCTTGACGCGCATCTAGGATCAAATCCATCCTGGGCTTGGCGTAGTAGTTGGTCGTCGCAGGAGTTGCTGAGGCACGGACTACGCTGAGTGGTAGGAAATGGTAAATCTATCCATTTTTGGAAAGATAAATGGATTCCTCCCCTTTCCTTGCCATTGGGGCTGAGGGAGTTTGAGTCTCGTTATGCTTGGGTTGATGAGCTACATGATGGCAAAGAGTGGCGTATGGATGTTTTGTGGCAATTATTTTCTTCAGTTAAAATCTATCGTATATCTCAGATTTCTTTAAGTCATGGCCAATGGAGGATGTCCAAATTTGGGAAGTTGATGCCTCAGGAAGGTTCAGTGTTAAGTCAGCATACCAATTAGCCGCCTCTCTATATTATAATCCAAGTTTGCGGAAAATGGAGGAAGGATGATGGTCCAAGGGTGTCGGGTCAGTTATGGAGTAAGCCGTGTGATAAGCGCTGAATACTGTATATTCAAGCGCCCTAAATTACATTAACAAAGTCCATTAATTGATTATTTTATGTAGTTTAACTCCATTTGCATGTTTTTGTGCATTTTCAGGTTAAAGTGCAAAAAGGAAGCAAAAATGATGCCTTGTGGAATTTTGAACAAAAAGGGTGCCAATTCTGAATTTCTGGCAGCAGTGAACCTGACTTTTGTCGCCATTTTCGACCTAGCAAACTCAAGAACTGGACTTCCATCATAACATGAAAGATTTAGAGGTCTGAATCAGCTTTCCAAATCTTCAAACGGTTCATCATTCGGAGTTCAGAGCAGAGAGTTATGATCTTCTTAACAGAGGTGCGTGGAACTGCCTGGCAGCACTGAAGTACTGCCTTTCTCCCCATTTTCGACCAACCAGACTTGAGAATTGGGTCTTCATCAAAACATGAAGTTTTTAAATCACTGAATCAGCTCTCCAAATCTTCAAACAGATCATCATTCGGAGTTTGGGGCACAAAGTTATAGCAGTTTTACCAAAGTAGGTCAGTGCTGAGCAAGAAGAGCATGTTGCACATTACACTAATTTAGAGTGCTCGAGACCACTCTTCGAGTGCTCAAAAATCAGGCAGATTGCACTCAGAAATGGCTCAATTTCAGCCACTTGCACATTGGTTTCCTCAATGCCATCTTCCTTCTTTATGAAGTGGTTGGAGGTGTTCCTTGGAGGAGAGAGAGGGTTTTGTTGGAGGACAAAAGGCAACCAAAGGCCACACATTTCATATCCTTGAATTTTGGCAAGATAGAGAAGAGAGAAGAGAGCAAGAAAGGTGTGTTCTTGGAGCTAGAAGAGGGGAGCTCGAAAATGGAGGTCAAGGCTTTGCTTCCTCCTTCCTCTAGTGCATCAATGGGTAACTAAACCTCCATCTAGGGAGGTGATGAAGCTCTACCTTGTAAGCATGTCTAGTTTTTGATTTATTTTGGGGAATGAAATGCATATTTGGCTAGTTCCATGGTCTAGAGCATGTTACAAATTGTAATGAAGATTTTGAATGTTTGAATGACTATGTTGATTTACATACTCTTGTCTTAGATTATTTAATCTCATAGTTGTATGGCTTATAGTTTCATAGTGACAATGGAACTAAGATTATGGAACGGTTTTAATGGCATGGTTTTGAGTAGCTTGTTAATCCATAGCTTAAGAATTTCTTTTGATGAGTTAATCTTGTGACTTGATATCAAGTGCTTCCACCAATTGATTAATTGTTTGACAATCTCTAGCTTAGTGAGCATGTCTAGGGTTGCATCTTAGTTTAGGTAACTCAACCATGTGAAGCTTTGATAGGTTGTTCTTACTCTTTAATTAATTGAATTTCTTGAAGATATTATAGTAGTCATGTATTATTATATATCAAGGTCATTTCTACATTAATTCCCCAAATTAATTATATAATTAGCTTGTGTAGAGGTTTGGAGTGGACTCACTTCCCTAGACTTCCTTCTCTAAATCTTCTCTTTTAATCTCCTTCAATTTATTGTTTTATGCATTCTGAAATTGTAGTTTAGTGACAAACAAAATAAACCCTCTATGAACACCCCTTATCACTCTAAAATGACTCTAGACACTTAGGTTGCCATAGATTAGCGCAGTCCCAGTGGTTCGACTCACCCGACCAATAGCCCTATTTTACAATGATTCGTGCTATTGCGAAGGTTGATGTATAGTTGATCAACCGATCACCGTGGCGTTTGTCTCTACCTTCCAAAGTTAAAAATTTTATTTGGAAATGTTGTTATGGTGTAATCCCAACAGGGTTTGAGTTAGTTCGATGAGGATGCTTGGAGGATCCGGTGTGCCAGCGGTGTGGGTTGGAGGTAGAAGATATTAATCATATATTTTTTTTGATATTCTCACTCGGTTCAGGTATGGAAGTTAACCCCTCTTCACTGGGACTTTATTCAAAATCCTCCTTTATCTTTTGTTGAATGGTGGGATAGAATTTCGGGTGCTGCAGTGCCTTCCAAGTAAAATAAATGTGTAATGGTAAGTTTAGCTTTATTTTGTGTGTGGACGATTTGGAAGGTTAGAAATAAAATGGTTTTGAGAAGGAAATGTGGAATCCTTTGCCGGTGGCTAATCTTGCTACGACTCGTTTTCTGGGAATTTGTGAATGTGCAGAAAAATGCAAACAACTTGTTCCTCCTTCGCAACGGATTGTGTCCTTTAACCGTTGGATTCGTCCTTTGCATGATGTTATTAAATGTAATGTGGATGTTAGTTTTTCAAGGTCTTCTTTATTGGGGAGTGGAGGTGCGGTGTTTCGGCAATCAGATGGATTTGTTCTTCAAGCGCAATAGTTTTTAAGCCGTTTTCCTCCACATCGATGCTTGAGGCTGAGACATTTGCATTTCGTCGTGCAACTTATTGGGCCAGAGTTTTTAATTTTCAATTAGTCTGCTTTGAGTCGGATGCTAAAGTGGTGGTGGATGCCATAGCGGGAGTTCAATATGATTATGGTGCGAATGATTCTATGTTGTCCAATATCTAAAATGAGCTTCAAGCTTTTTCTAAGTTTTCAATTGTGCATGTTCAAAGGGAGGGTAATCGTCTCGCGGAGTGAGATGGAAGCGGACTTGGCAATGGAGTATCTAAGGTAGGGTTGGGCTGGGCTCCAGCCCACCCCAAATTTTTTATTTTATTTTATTTTATTTTATTTTTTTCTATGGGTAATTTTAACCTAACCCAAAAAAAAAATATATATATATTATTATTATTAGTATTAGTTCACCTAAACATGCCGAAGTCAATTAAGCCACAATGCTAAAATAAAGGCCTAAACTAAACAAACCCAAGCCAAACAAGCCCTAATAAAAAAAATATGCTTAAAAAATTGTGTTATTAAATTTATGTTTAATTGTAGTTCATCCCACTAATAATTTTTGGTTCCGCCCTTGGGAACTTGGTGCTCATTGTGTTTCGCCTTTTGGAAGCTTATGTTGCTGATTGTGTATGAGTTTTTTCTTACCTTTTGTGTTGTTGCGACGAAAAAAAATATAAATATATATATCTAAGCATCGTTCAGGTGAGAAAAAACAGGACAATATTTCAAACAAAAAAACAAAACAAAACAAAACAAAAATTATCTATCCATTATCGCTCAGGTGAGATAAAAAGGCAAGGAATCTAAATCCGAGAGCTGAAAACGAGAGGCATAAAAATCTCTCTCTACCTCGGCTCAAGTCTCTCCCTCTCACACCATGACTCTGGTGGACAGACCTACAGTTCGAATCTCAAACATCCCGCGAGCAGCCATAGCCCAAGAGCTTCTCGAATTCTTCGAGTTCACGACCGGCAAAGGATCAATCTTCGCCTGCGAAATCGTCACCGAGCGCAAGAACTGGAAGTCCAGAGGCTTTGGCCGAGTCCAGTTCGAGTCCCTGGAAGCCAAATCAAAGGCCGCATGCCTCTCTCACCAGGGAAAGCTTCTATTCAAAGGGTCAAACCTCACTCTCTCCGATTCCTTCGATGATGTCATTACTCGACCTATCGATCCTCAAAATCGGGTTCAAAATGGGGTTTTGCATACTGGTTTTTTGGTGAAAGATGATTGTATGTGTGTGTTGGAGTCTTGGGAAGGTGTCAAGGCCTGGTTTATGCCTGAAAGGAGGACTATTGAGTTCTGGGTGGGTCATGGTGGGGAGTGTTATAAATTGGAGGTACTGTTTGCTGATGTTTTTGGGGCTTCTGGGTATTCTTCGGATGGTGAGAAAGCTAATGCAGTTCTTCTGAAGGTATAGATTTTTCACATATTTGGTCCCTTTCTTTTCTTTCTTTTATTTATTTATTTATTTATTTCTATTTTTAATTTAATTTTTTTTTTTTAAATTGAAGGGTTTTGTTAATGCTTTGGGAAGTATTTAGATAAGGGTAAAATCACAAATAATCTTCTATTGGATTACTTGATAATTGTGACTTAAGCTTACAACTGACTTCCTGGATGCTTTAGCTTTAATTGGATAGACTTGTCTCATTGCATTTGTTTTTTATTTATGACTTAAATTGATATAAGATCCATATTTGGTAAAGTATTTGTTGGGAATCTTGTCTCAAATTTCTTCTGTGATTATGTTTGCATTTTAGAGTTGTCTTTGGTTTAGGGTAGTTTTTGTTAGGAGTTCTGCTTGAGGTACTATAAACTTGTATTCTGTATTCATCAAGAAACTTGGGTGTAGTATTTTGTAAATAAAAGAGTAGGTTATTGGTTGAAACCTATGACTGAGATATAGTCATGTGATATGATCTGTGAGGTTTCACAGGAGTTTGTGGAGAGATTGGTCATATAGTGGGAAGAACACCAAGGAGGAGGGAAATTTTAGGGCTTAAGTTCATATGCGTGGGTTTTGCTGATACGTGAACTTCACCCTCTTTATTTCCCCTAGAGTTATTGTGATATCTTGTTCTGCTTGTAGGTAAGGCAATTTGGTATTATAGCCAGGTCTGCCCTGGGGAGATCCGTTCTATTTGAAGGAGTCATTGTAAGAACCAGAACATTTAAAAGAAGTTTCAATAGGGCATATGGATTTTAGTTAAATGTTGGAGGCAATCAATCAGCTTCTGTTTAATTACGATGATTGTGAAATTGTGATCAATTACGTAGTGGGGTTTGGATCGACTGTAAGATAGCTTAATGGTAGTTGAGATAAAATGGAGATTATATGGAATTTTATTCAATTTCATTTTGTTATCAAGAAGATCCATATTTGTTGAACTATTTGTTTGGAATTTTGTCTCAAGTTCCACCTATGATTATGTTCATATTTTGGAGTTGTCTACTGTTTAGTGACATTGTTAAGAGTTTTACTTGGGGCACAATAAATTTTTTCCTCTATTCAGCAACAAAATTGGGTATAGGACTTTGTAGATAGAAGCCTAGGTTACTGGGTGAAACTTATGGGAGAGATGTAGTCGTGATATATTTTTGTGCATGTGCCTGGATTTGATATGTGTACTGCACCCTCTTTATTTCCCTTAGAATTATTATTATTTTCCCCCTGTAGATATAGGCAAATTGGTATTAGAGCCATGTCTGCCCTGGCTAGGTTAGTTCTATTTGAAGAAGTCATTGCAACATGAAAACACAAAAGAAGCCTCAGTAGCTGCAAATGGATTTTAAATAAAAGACGTAATCAATCAATTGGCTTCCGCTTAATATGATGATTATAAAAGTATGCTAGATTACTTATCAAAAAAAAAAAAGTGTGATAGATTACACGGTAGGGTTTGGATCAACTGTAAGTTAGCTGAATGGTATTTGAGATAAAAAGGAGATTATTCGGCTTTTTTTCCCCAATTTTATGTTGCGATTTGGTTTCTAAGTTGTAGGCTTTTAGCTCTAATTTTTATTCAGGAAAGTTCTTGTTGGATGTTTTATTTGGGGCATAAGGAATTTGTATCATTTCTTTAATAAGAAATTGGATATATGATTCTTCAAATAGGTTATTGTTAGCAAATATGATAGCCGCGATTTATGGAATGATTTACCATATTAGCAGAGAATTGATTATGTTATAGAATATGGTCTAGAATATGTTGTGATTTGATTTAAGTTTTTTCCTTGTAATATGAGCATGTGCTCTTTTTATCTATAAATACTAAATCTGTGAATGAGTGATTTATCTCATTCAAGCCTTTATACAATTCTCTCATTTCTTTTCTTTTTTATATTTCTACTTGGTGACAGAGCCAGGGTGGTTCGATTGCAATAAGGGCATTGCGAGTTCGGTACCACCCGTTCGGGAATGGTCTAAGGTGACATCACCCATCCGGGAAATGTCAGGTAGGCAGGGTGGTCCGACCTCAATGAGGGCGTTGCGAGTTTGGCACCATATATTCAGTAATGGTCTGAGGAGACATAGTTGTTTCTTTTATGGTCTGAGAGACATAGTTGTTTCTTTTATGGTCTGAGAGACATTGTTGATTCTTTCATCTACATTGTTTAATTATATGTAAATTATTTTTTTTTTTATAAGTAAAATTGTACTAGAAAACGTTCAAAAGGGGAACGCGTCCCAAGAGCTATACAAATGCCGAAACCAAAAAAAGGTGTCCTATGGACCCAAAGAACTCAAAAAGTCCACGATTTCATCTAAAGATGTACAATTTCTCTCCATAACCCAACTAAAAAGAGGACAAATAATAGAAAACTTCAACGCTCCAATGGAGAATTCCTCCCCATTAAAAGATCTTCTATTCCGCTCTTTCCAAAGACCTCACCAAACACATAGGGGGGTCGCCCTCCAATAGTCACGAGCATGAGCCCCCACCCTTTGGCCCCTCCATACGTCAATCAAATCTCTTGAAGTCAGGGGCATAACCCATTGGACGCCAAACAGACCCAAAATAAGACTCCATGAGCCATGGGACAGTGCCAAAGAAGGTGATCTATAGACTCTCCATCATTTTTACACAGATAACATCAATTGACTATGATTTGTCTTATCTTTCTCAAATTGTCCAAAGTCAAAATCGTGCCCCAAGCTGCAGTCCAAACAAAAAAGGCCACACTTAGAGGAGCCTTTAGATGCCAAACCGTTTTCCATGGGAAATTGGAAATTCGGAGAGGCAGAGAAAAAAGGAACGGACCTGAATAGTCCCCTGCGAAGAAGGCACCCAAGTCAAGGAATCCGAACCAGTACCATCCACCTCCTGTCTATACAAAAGGTCCAGCAAGCGAGTGACGGCGTCTAACTCCCAATCTTGAAAGGATCATTGGAACCGCACATCCTAAGACAACCTACCGCTATCGAGTCGATAACAGTCAGCTACCAAAGCATGTCTATCAATAGCAATCTTGAACAACCTTGGGAACAAACAAGACAATGGGCGATCCTCGCACCAAGTATCCTCCCAAAACCGGATGCCTCTTCCTTCCTACCTCTGAATCTAATATGCTTAGTGAACTCATTCCATCCCTTCCCAATGGATTTCCACACCCCCACGCCGACAGCAAATCTGAGCAACCTAGATGACCATCCCCCTCTCTCCTTTCCAAAACGACATAGTAGAATTATATGATAGGGTGGGAGAAATATAAGATTAGAGAGATCGAGAGAAATATGTAATTGCTTTGTTATATAACTCATCCATAGCTCTGTTATTTATACTAGAGGAACACATGTGAATCTTACAATAAAGGAAAGAGAAAAATGATTAACTTAATACAAAAGCCATGAATCGATGCATGTTAAAGGGGGCACAAAGTGGGCAGACCACTCAATCAAGGGAGCAACCTCAATGAATCAAGGTCCCTGATTCTAGGTCCATGATTCAAGGCATGATTAGGGGACACATATATATCAGCTCACACTCCCCCTCAAGCTGTAGGGAAGATATCAACCAAGCTCAACTTGACTATATCAAGACATGAAACAATTGTATCATTTCCACAATAAGACTGCAATGCTACCGAACACACTGGTATCAAAGCCAAGTCAAAGGACAATGTTACCGAACACGCCGACAGCCCCACAAGGCAAAGGACGATGCTACCGAATACATCGACAAACACAAAAAGGCAAAGGACAATGATACCGAACACTCTGGTAGCCACAACAAGGCAAAGATGCTACGACGTCTCCTCAGACCATGGATCAACAATGTTTCTCAGACAATAAAAAAAAAAAAAACCCACGTCTCTTCAGACCATGGATTCAAACTTTCAATGCCCTCATTGCTGTAAACAAATTATATATGAACAAGGAACAAAACCTAATAGAGGCAGAAAACACATTGTCCAGAACAAAAAGCAATCCAAAATAGAGAGCTCTAACAAAATCAAACGACGAAAGAGAAATCTGAAAAATGACAGTAAGCACGTGGTGATGACTACCAGAACGGAATGGCAACGGAGATAGAGACCTTAAAGTTGCAAGAAGGGGATGATGATGGACCGCTGCCGGAGATGAAACTTATGCCGCCATCTCTGGCGGTGGCTCTGATACCATGTAGAATTATATGATAGGATGGGAGAAATATAAGATAAGAGAGATCTAGAGATATATGTAATTGCTTTGTTATATAACTCATCCATAGCTTTATTATTTATACTAGAGGAGCACATGTGAATCTTACAATAAAGGAAACAGAGAAATAATTAACTTAATACAAAAACCATGAATCAAGGCATGTTAAGGGGGGCACAAAGTGGGCAGACCACTCACTCAAGGGAGTAGCCTCAATGAATCAAGGTCCTTGATTTTAGGTCCATGATTCAAGGCATGATTGAGGGGACACATATATATCAACTCACATTATTGAAGATTTAATGGAGAAATCAGTGGAGGAAATTTTTTTCAGTAATTGATGTTGTTTCCTATTATTGAAGATTTGATGCTAGAGAGGAATCAATGGAGAAAAATCCTCCTTATTTCCTATTTTCTATCTCTTTCAATTCTCATAATTTCTTCTCCTATATAATGATTTGACAGAGTATTATAAAAGTGATGTAGCCCTTTGGACTCTTTGTGCCGTGGATGTAGGCCCTAGTGGCTGAACCACGTAATATCTGTGTGTTCTACTCATTTAATTTCTTCGCGTTTTATGTTTTTCAACATGGTATCAAAGCCTAATTTCTCTTCCTAGGTTCGGACCCCTATTTTGGGGTATTCCCTTAGGGCCCGTTTGGCATGCGTTTTACTTTAGGCGTTTTGTTTTTGGCGTTTTGTTTTTGGCTAAAACAGAAATAGCGTTTTTACTATTAGAGTGTTTTGGCAAAAATCGGAAGCACGTTTGGGAACGATGTTTTACTGTAGAAATGTCGGAAACAAAAATATGCAAAACACGTTTGGTAAGTCATGCATTTCAAGAATTTTAAAAACAAAACATGTTTGGTAACTCCAACTGTTGTAAACAAAATAAAACAGAAATAAAAAATATGTTTGGTTAAATTTATTTATAAATTTATTTCTATATAAATAGTCTATATATTTTTAATAAATTTATTAAAATTTGAACACATAAACATATATATATATATATATATATATATATATATATATAAAACCAAAGTGTAATTACAGAAGCAACTGCTTTAGCGAAAATGTAGAATGTTAGTTCTAATAATTGAACCAATAATTTCAACCATTTTGCATGTTATCTTGATCTGAAACTACACTTCAAGTTATTTGAAATTTCTTGGTATAGTTTGTTCCTTTGGTGATGATTGTCCATAGGTTTGTATTTCATTCATTTTGCTCATTTTTCGCATTAGCGAAAGAAGAAAAAAAAATACTACACAGCTCTGATAATAATTTTCGACTCTTGTAAGTTTGCACTGGTGGGAATTTAACTCCAAAATACAGATTCTTGCCTTCTCTTTTGTAAAAAAATGTAAACCCCCACCAAATTATATATATATTAATTTTTGCAATAACTTATTTACAAGTTATTTGCAATAACCTACTTCAAATTTATTATCATTATACCTGTATAGTCCAATTCAATATTAAAAATAAATAATCTCTAGTCACATTTTACTATACTACATGAGAGTCAACATTTGTAAAAAAATTTGCAATAACCTATTTACAAGTTCTTTGCAATAACCTGCTTCAATTTTATTATCATTATACCTGTATAGTCCAACTCAATATTAAAAATAAATAATCTCTAGTCACATTTTATTATACTACATGAGAGTCAACATTTGTGAAAAAAATTTGCAATAACCTATTTACAAGTTCTTTGCAATAACCTGCTTCAATTTTATTATCCTGATACCTGTATAGTCCAACACAACATTAAAATAAAAACAAACTCAATTGAAAGTATAATTGAAATAGAGTGTATAACATTTACAAGTCCTGAAATATTCAACCAACAAATTAAACACGTTTAAGTTGTACATAAAATGTTTGGAACAAAGCATTAACAATACGTAGTTGTCGCTAAAAATTAATAAGAAGTTCATAAAGTGGATAACAATGGCAACGACACATCATCTTCATAACAGCACATGTGGCCTTTAAGAGAGCATCAACACACTTCATATCTGCAATAATAGCATTTAAGTTGAATTATATATCTGCAAAAAATATTTATATTACATATATATATTGCAAGCTCACAATAGCAACAAATATATTACATATAAAAGAAAAAATATACCGTCACCTTCAGAAGGATCAAGAGTGCTGAAGAGAATTCCAAATCTGATCAGCAATAGTATTACGCAATTGATCCATTTCTCGAAGCTGAGCCGAAGGCACATGCTCAACAATCTCATCATCTTCACCATCACTTTGAGGAGGATCATTACCATCAAATATGTCATCAGGCTGATGCTGATTTTTGATAAAATTATGTAATGTGCAACAAGCCATTACAATCAATACTTGTGTTGAAAACTTATAAGGAGGCATTGCCCTCAAAATAGCGAATCTCATCTTCAATGACCCAAAGCATCGCTCAATTATATTTCTCAAAGATGAATGCCTATGATTGAACACTTCCTCCCGACCACGAGGTTGTCTAGTCCTACGGTATTCCTGAAAGTGGTAAGTATGACCTCGAAATGGGGCCAAATAACCAGGCTTATTGGCATACCCTGAGTCCACCAAATAATACTTACCTGCCATGTTTAGAATACATAAAGATATATACAGTATGATAAACTAACCATATATTAAGTGAATTTATAAAAAAATATTACCTGCTGGTGGAGCTGGAAAGTTCATTGCCTCATTTTCAGTACACTCATTTAGGATTCTCGAATCATTAGCTGAGCCTTCCCACCCAGCTAGCACATATGTGAACCTCATGTCAAAGTCACATACAACCATTACATTTTGTGTGGTATAACCCTTTCTACCACGAAATGGAAGTTGTGTTCTTGCTGGCAGAGTTGCAGGAATGTGGGTTCCATCTATAACTCCCACACAATGCCTGAAGTAAGGGTAAAACCTAGAAGACTCTCTAATCTTATTCGGAATCACAGAAAAATTAGGAGGGGTAATGATATGGGTGCCCAACTGACACACTGCATGCAACACAGCATGGAAGTGTCTAGAAATGGTTTCAGTGGAGTGCTGAAATCTCTCTGCTACAACACAATTCCTTTGATTATGAGATAAAGTGAGCAAAAAGATTGCCACTTGTTCATAAACAGTTAAAAATTTAGAATCCTTCAGCCCTATACCTTTCAGGGTACTACACAATATTCTAAAAACTTCAGGGTACATCCTAAAATTTTCATAACATCTTTCTCTATGGCCGTTTAAAATCTCCATAACATATGTTTCCCCTTGTAAAATGGAATCCCTACAACGCCTCTTTTGATAGAAGTTCTGCTCTTCTAAAAGAGCAGCAAATATTAAGACACTCTCATTATCCTCCTCATCGTCAGATAATTGAATTATTCTTCTTATATTGTTCCACACATCCATTGCCCTATTTAAAGATTTAATACATGCAAAGCATTTAAGTTAATAAGCAAATCAATTAAATAATAAACAAAACATTTAAATAATAAAACAAACATTTAAATAATGGTATTAAAGTATTTGAGTACTAACAGGCATCCAAGAAATAAAAGTATTTAAGTTATTATAGCCATCCAAATGTGAGATAATAAAAGTATTTAAGTTATTACAGCAATCCAGATGTGAGATAATAAAAATATTTAAGTTATTACAGTAATCCAAATGTGAGATAATAAAAGTATTTAAGTTATTACAGTTATCCAGATGTGAGATAATAAAAATATTTAAGTTGTTACAGTCATCCAAATGTGAGATAATAAAAGTATTTAAGTTATTACAGTCATCCAAATGTGAGATAGTAATAAGTTAAACGATGACACAAAACACAATCATCCATAAAGAAAAACTCAAACATTCAGTGCCCAACCAATTCTTACATCCTCAGGTGCCGAAAGAAAAAATTTCTGTCACTTCTCAGAATCATGTAATAACTTCGATACCTTAGCGAATTGGGCCATCTCAATTCCAGGTATTTTTTGTAAAAGGAGCATGGAGGCGTCAAACATTTCATAATCTCTATCCTTTTTTGAGGGAGAGAGAACTTCATCATCTCCTTTCTCACATGAAGATACACGAGTAGAAGTAGAAGATGCTTTAGCTGCTTTCTCTATTGCAGCTTCCATTCTCTCAGCTCTCCTCTCAGAATTCTCATTCATGTTTGACAAGAGTGCAGCTATACCAGGAGATAAAGCATCTCTTTTGGCTTTCTTACCTTTACGTAAAGGTGGGGGGACTGACCTCACAACCCTCTTCCTCATCATCGTCATCATTGGGAGTGGGCAAAATGATTGTGGGTGGTGCTGTAGTGGATGGGTGGGCATGCATCCCTCTTGCATATGTGTCCCCAAATATAGTCGACATCTTGTCAAAATGCTTACATCCATACTTTTTATACTTATTTGCATTCGTAACAACCTACAAATTTTGTTACAATATTAACCACATAACCAATAATATACAAGATTTTATTATTTATTTATGACTAATAATTAAATTACTAACCTTGCACAACCTGTCCCATCTCTCTTCCTCAACTATAACCATGCCCGTCTCATGGTTATATCCCACGCCAGTCTCCGATAATAATTTCTTAAACTCAGTATAAATTTTCCTCAAACCATTAAACTTATTCCGAAGTTGGGTTAAACCAAATTTTCTCCCCGTGTGAACATTCATTTGTTTGACTAAATTACTCCAACCACTTTTACTAAATGTTGTGCCACTACGATTATTAGCCTTAACTTCTTCCACCATAATATTCACGAATTTTTCAATGAGTGACTCATCCCATAACAATTTTCCATCGTTCGTAACTTCAGTCACTTCTTCAATTGTGAGAGAATCACCGCATTGTTCCACATTCTCAACATTCATATCCATCTAACATATTAATAACAACACAATAATTAATAACAAAAAAAAAATAATAGTACACATACGTGAGAGGAGAAAGGAAGCACTCTTACTCACAAAATTTCACTAATAATTTTGGGTGAGATTTGTCCAAACTCAAAGGAGTTTCAATGATATTGTAATCTAAACTTAGGGGTGTATGTGAAATTCGCCCTAAAATGTTAGTACTTTGACATTTGAGACAGGTTTGTCATGCATGTCACTGTGGTAAACAAACAAGTAGTATTAAAGAATGATCAATTGATAGGTTAAACCACAGAGGCCTCTGCTTTCTTTGGAGATTGGTATTTCCCAAAATAATATGTTCTTCCAAACTACAAGGAATTATATAAATTATGTGTGTTGCACTCAACCATTTTATGAAATATAGGTCAAACAAAAGAATGAAATTGACATTTCAAAGAACCTCTTTGTAATAGAAGAAAAGTAACTTTGTCCAAGTCAAAAACAAGTCTGTTATTCTACCACAGACACTATTACCCACAATATAATCATTTGTACATGTTAAAATTTGTATGTAAAGGTTAAGGAGTACAAGTCTGTTCAAACTCTTTTCCTTCATTGCATGGGAATCAATTGGATGTTTCTAAGGAACAAGACACCTTTTATACATTTGCTAGAAAGAGCTTAAGATTTTAGGTTTTACTTAGTTCCTAGGAAACATACATATAGTTAATATGGCATAAGTGCTGGAAAGCCCTACGAGAAGTTCACACATTTAATAAAGAATACTGAATCAAAATATAAAAAATAAAAAACAAGAAGAGAAAGGAGAAATTGGTGATAAATATTACAATATTAGGTATTTTACTAAAGGGAAATATGGTCATTTCATTGTAATAGCAATTGTATATATATACACATACGTGAGAGGAGAAGGGAAGCACTCTTACTCACAAAATTTCACTAATAATTGTGTTTTCTTATTCTAGAAATCATAAATTCAATAAGAGTAAAAGATACAGATATTCTTCTGAACTTATGCATGTATATTTAAAAGTATGGGAAATGACATAATGATAAAGACTGAACCAGAAAAGGTGGGTGTGCATAAGAAGCTTACCTCTTTTTGGTGCTGTGAATCTAATGAGAAGAAAAGCTACCAACTCAACAAGAGATATCAAACTCTAGTTCAGTAAAGCAGCTGCAAGAAGGAAGGGTGGAAGAGGTAAAAACAATTATTATTCCAGTTAAAAAGAATGATAAAAATGTAACTAAATATTTAAATATATATCTATAATGCATTGATTATGTTTAATGTTTCAACATGCTACTGCTTATCATAAACATGAATTAGGCATAATCATAGTGACAAAAAAATAAAACAGAATGACTTTGAGAGCCTAACTACAAATAGCCACTAAAGAAAGAATTGCAGTAACAATCTCCGGTGACATGCGTAGGGGAAAAGGACAAAAAAATTCATATTTTAACTACTTTATAGCCACGTTAGAGACACAATACTTTCATGTCAAACACCTAAATGAAACGCCAATTTCCAATTAATTTGCTTCAGGGTCAACATGTGAGAAACCTTAAGTTATCCCAACAATAGATTCCTAAGTCTCTTGGTATATCCATTGTCGTACATATAATATTTAACATTTGCTCTTGTCCATTACAGAGCACGATCTGAATCAACTAGTGTGGATGCTAACTGGACTAATTTCTATTCCCCACAATTAATATCCATCGTCTTGCCTTTTTCTCCTTCCTCAGTTTATATAGTTTCAAAGTTTGCTTTGGTACTCCTCCCCTCATCTAGAAAACCTGTTTCACTTTGGCAGTTAAAAGGATTTTCGAAAGGATATATATTCAATACCATTGGTTTTATTTATTCTCCTTTCCATCAGATCACTTAACTGAAATTACATAATAATTCCCCTCTCAACAGAAAAGATATTCAGGATTCAGAATTGAAAAGGTAGGACAATAAAACCAGACAAGATCACAGTCATGTTTACAACCTTGTATTCATAAACACTTAGAGTTGATTAATGTTTTGTTCCCGTTTTCAATTAGTACCAGTAAAAGTATCATCATGATTCGATTTGAATCCATGATTAAAATATGGTGGTGGGGGGTGGAAGTTAGCTTCTATAACAAGTAGATACGAGTGACATGAGCTAACCAGTATTTATGCTAAAATAGGGAACAAATTATCCTTAGATGCCTCTTAATCTTGCTCCTAGATTTACTGTGGTCTGATTAATATATTGAGGACTTCCATTGTAGTTACATAACAATAGGCATTCTATATTTAAAAGGATAAGCCAGACTATGAAATTAAACAACCAAGCCAAATTGGAGAGAGGAAAAAAAAAAGTTTGAACAGAAAAACAAAGTTCACAACAGTCATTTATACAAATATGTATTTACTCTCTTCTTCTACGACCAATTATGCAAAAATCTCAATAACCATTTTTTTTTTAATAGCCCAAACGGACTACCATACACATCAGAGAATCTCTTATTGTTTTCTAGCCTAAATCTTTAAATGTATCATTTGCATTCCACGTCTAATTGTTCCTTTTTCTATTTTTGGAATCTTTAGTTGAAGTGTTGGCGTCTCATGCACAAGTAGAACCTAACACTCTTGACTGGCATTTTAATGATTTAAAACATTTGTTGCATATGCTTATATAAGGTATTCAAGATTAAAGACAGTACATAACATATGAATTCATATTCATATATAAGAAAAAGTTCAACACTTAGAAATTAAATTACCAGAAGGGGCTTTGCCCTCAGAGATTGAAGTGGACTTGAGTTGGTCTGAGACTTTATCAGCTTCCTTTGAATTTGCCTCTGAAACATGAATAGAAAAACAAAGTATACAAATTATTTTATATATCAAGATATATATATATATATATATATATATATATATATATATATATGAATAATTGTGTCAGATTTACGATTAGGGTTTAGGAGGTTGTGGATGACCTTTGGGAAGATCAGGGTAAAGGTCGGGACATTCAAAATCTGGTCGAAACTCACAGTACTCTACAGGTAAACAGCACATCCCGCAGTACAAGAAGCGGGCTGGTTGGGGTTTCTCCGTCATTTCAATTCTCTCTCTATATATATCTATATATCTGTTTTTCTATCTAGATCGAAGCCCTTCTTTCTCTCTCTTTCTCTATATATATATATCTAATAATCGTTATCGGCAAGAGTATTGAAGAAAAAAATGGGGAAGAACGCATACCTTGCCTTGCAGAGGCAGATCTCGGGCTACTGCTCTTACAGTCAATATCGCGTTTTCATCGCCTCCCAAATCGCCGTCTAGGGTTTCAAAGGAGAGAGATTATAGTCGGGCCAAATGTTGCAAACTTTTACTTCCTCCGCTACAATTTTCATTGTAACTTACTTCCTCCGCTACAGTGGTTTTGTTGGGCCAACAGTATTGAAACAACAAAAAACACCATTTTGGTGTTTCACTTTTGGGCCTAAATTTTGAAAATATTTTAGCACTGTTTAAATCAAAACAATAGCTACCAAACATGTTTTTGGGCCTGAAATGAAGTCCTGTAACAAAAACACCAAAACAAAACAGCTACCAAACGGGCCCTTAGCATCTGAAATGTTGCTAAAGGTTTCTCGGTGCTATTTGTGACTTATTTGGGTTACCGGTTTGTTCGGCAGTAGTGTTTTTCGCCTTTGCCGTGTCTCCGACAGTTTTTATTAACTTGTTTGGGCCGCCGGTGTGTTCGGTAGCATTGTCCTCGCCTTTGCCGTGTCTCCGACAATTTTTTGTTCACTTATTTGGGTTGTCGCTGTGTTCGGTAGCATTGTTCTTTGTCTTCTCTCTTTATCATTCACACTTGTTGCTCGTCATCTCAATGGCAAGTTGGGCATTCATGCTCCAACTTGAGGGGGAGTATTGAAGATTTAATGGAGAAATCAGTGGGGGAAAATCTTTCAGTAATTGATGTTGTTTCCTATTATTGAAGATTTGATATTACAGAGGAATCAGTGGAGAAAAATCCTCCTTGTTTCCTATTTTCTATCTCTTTCCATTCTTATAATTTCTTCTCCTATATAAAGGAGCTTCCACCATTGTATTGTATATGATTTGAGAGAATATTATAAAAGTGATGTAGCCCTTTGGACTCTTTGTGCCGTGGATGTAGGCCTTAGTGGCTGAACCACGTAATATCTGTGTGTTCAACTCGTTCAGTTTCTTCGCTTCCGTTTTATGCTTTTCAACAGATATAAATCAACCTTCCTCCGTAACCCATGTCTTTCGCTACCGAATTTCTATAACCACTTGCCTAGGAGCACTCTGTTGTTGAAAGGGGCCAATCTCTTAATCCCAAGACCGCCCAACTTAAAGTGCAGACCTGCTCCCACAGGATAAGATGAAATTTAAACTCCTCCCCCCGGCCGCCCCAGAAGTTCTGTTGAAGCATCTCAAGTCTTCCAACAATAGAGGAGGGGATCTGGAAAAGCGAAAGAAAATAAGGTGGAAGACTGGATAATGTGCTCTTCACCAAAGTAACATTTCCTCCCTTCGAAAGATATTGCTTTTCCCACTTAGCCAATTTTCTCTCGAAACGCTCTATCACCGGGTCCCAACTTCCCACCCTCCTTGACGAATCACCCAACGGCAAGCCCAAGTAAGAAATAGGGAAGGAGCTCATCTCACACCTTAAAACTGCCGCAAGAGAAGCCACCTCCTGAACCTCCTTTACAGGAACAAGCACGCTCTTGCTCTCGTTGACTTTTAAACTTGAGACTGCCTGAAAGTAGACCAGGACACATCTCAAATATCTCAATTGGGACACATTTGCCTCACAAAAAACTAGAGTGTCATTCGCGAAAAGCAGGTGAGAGATCTCCAACTGCTGAACTGAATCTAGACCAATCCTGAAGCCCCTGATAAATCCCAAATCCACAGCCCTTTTCATCAACCTTCTAATAGCCTCCATAACAATAATGAACAGGAATGGGGAGAATGGGTCCCCTTGCCTCAAACCACGAGAACTGCCAAAAAAAATCCGGATGGAGACCCATTCACCAACACAGAAAATCTGACAGAGGAAATGCACGCGTTGATCCATCTTCCGTCTCTCTCCGAAACCATCCTTTTTAATAGATAAAACAAAAAATTCCAACAAACATGATCATAGCCTTTCTCAATATCAAGCTTACACAGAATTCCAGGAACGTTACTGAGCCTATAATCCACACATTCATTGGTAATGAGAACGGAATCCAGGATCTATCAGCTCCAAATGAACGCATTTTGAGATTCAGAGTTGACTCCGTCTAGAAACTCCTCAATCTTAACGCGAGGACTTTTGCGATAAGCTTATAGATACACCCATTCAGACTTATTGGTCTAAAGTCTTGAACGTCAGAAGCACCGCCCTTCTTAGGAATTAGAGCAATAAAAGATGCATTCAGTGACTTTTCGAACCTCCCATTAGAATGGAACTCATGAAAAGTGCCCATAACCTCCTGTCTAACCACCTTCCAGCTCTCCAATAAAAACCTCATTGTGAAACCATCCAGACCTAAAGCTTTGTTTAAACATATGTATGAAGGGGAATGGTCTGAGGAGACATTGTTGATTCTTCCATCTACATGTTTTAAACATGTATATAAAGGGAAATGGTCTGAGGAGACATGATCGGTTGTTTGTGGTCTGAGGAGACATGATCGGTTGTTTATGGTCTGAGGAGACATTGTTAATTGTTTATGGTATGAGGAGACATTGTTAATTGTTTATGGCTTGAGGAGACATTTTTGATTTGTTGATCGGCACTTCATTGAAGAGAAAATCATCACTAGTTAGATTTGCACTATATTTATCACAATCTCTCAGACATTCTTACAAAGGGCGTTATCAAGATTGTATTTGAGAATGCATTGTTCAAGTTGGGCGTTTCAGATATCCATGCACCAACTTGAGGGGGAGTGTTAGTAGATATGATAGCTACGATTTATTGGGCGTTTTAGATATCCATGCACATGAGGGGGAGTGTTAGTAGATATGATGGCCACGATTTATGGAAAGATTTATCATATTAGCAGATATTTGATTATACCATAGAACATGCCATAGAATATGCTATAATTTGATTTAATTTCATTTCTTGTAATATGAGCATGTGCTCTTTTTATCTATAAATAATAGAGCTGTGAATGAGTAATTTATCTCATTCAAGCCTTTACACAATTCTCTCATTTTTCTTCTATATTATACTTCTACTGTTATTATTGAAGACTTGCGAAAAGAATATAGTCATATGTTTCATTGGAGTTCTTAAAGCGATGGGGTAGAGATGGGAAGAACACCAATGAATAGGGAAAAAGGGTTTGGTTTAGGGCTCAAGTTTGTGTGCTGATGAACTTCAATTGTATGTGTACTTTACCTTTATAATTCTTATATAATTTTAGTGAATTCTCTTCCACCTATAGGTGTAGTTAGAATTTCACTGAATCATGTTAAATATTATATCTCGTGTGATTGTAATATACACACACACACACACACACACACATATATATATGTAAATTGGCACCTTTGATTGTTATTGTCCGTTGGTGAGGGATGTGGGGCCATGCTTCTCACTATTTTCGGTGTTGAGCTTGATTGTTATTGTCCAGTGGCTTAGCAAGTTAGAGAATGGTGGCCTTTGTGGAGGGAAAGGAACAGGAGATCTTTAGATGGGGAGAAGACTACTATCCCTGAATTGAATTTTTTTTATTTTGAGTTCTTTGTTTTTTTGGGTTAAAAGGTAGAACTGTAAATCAATGGGGCATCTTATGTTAGACTTTAAGATATAATCAAATCAAGAGTAAGTGATAAAGAAGAAGAAAAAGAGAGGAAAACGGATGAGAGAAAAAGAAAGAGATGGGGAAAGTGAGAGAGAATGAAAGAATACTTTCATCCTTCCACCACATTCTATTTATAATAACAAGTTTAAGAAATTTCACATAAGCTCCAACATTATTTAAGTAATAACAAATAAGCCCCTGACAATACTCCCCCTTAAGCTGGTGTAAAGATATCTATCATGCCCAGCTTGACTAACATATTTTGTAAGCAAGTCTTGCTCACACCCTTAGTCAAAACATCAGCAACCTGATCATGTCTGTTGACATATGGAGTACAAATCAGCCCAAGACGAAGCTTTTCCTTGATGAAATGTCGATCGACTTCAATGTGCTTTGTCCTGTCATGTTGAACTGGATTGTGGGCAATGCTAATAGCAGCCTTGTTGTCACAATACAACTTCATTGACTCGCGAATAGGATAACCCAACTCACCCAACATCGTACGTAGCCATAACAACTCACAAACTCCATGTGCCATGGATCTGAATTCAGCCTCTGTGCTAGATCTAGCTACTACAGACTGTTTCTTGCTTTGCCATGAAACTAGATTACCTCCAACAAATGTGCAATATCCTGAAGTAGATTGTTGATACAGACCTTACCCAATCAGCATCAGTATAGGCTTCAACATGCAAGTGGCCATGACTGCCAAACATTATCCCCTTACCAGGTGAACCCTTGCGGTAGCGAAGAACATGATGAGCTACCTCAAGGTGAAATGTACGTGGAGCATGCATAAACTGACAGCGTAAGCAACATCGGGGATCGTGAGAGATAAGTAAATCAGTCTCCCAACCAATTGCTAAAATCTTCCCACATCATCTAATGGGTCTCCATCTACATCATCAAGCCTATGGCTCTACTCAATAGGAATATCAATAGGTCTAGCTCTAAGCCTGCCTGTTTCAGCCAACAAATCCAACACATACTTCCATTGACAAATGAACATCCCTTTCTTCGATTGCACACCTCGATGTCAAGAAAGTATCTCAATGATCCGAGGCCTTTAACCTCAAACTCTGTCCCTAAGAATGACTTCATTTGACGAATCTCTTCTGGATCATTTAAAGTGATAAAAATATCATCAACATATACAATAAGGGCAGTGGTGCAGCCTTGGTGCTTCTTGATGGAGAGAGTATGATCTGCCTGACTCTATGTATACCCTACTCTTTTCACAGCTGTGCTGAACCTCTTAAACCAAGCACGTGGCGACTGCTTTAACCCATACAAGGCTTTATTTGGCTTGTACACTAAATTCTGACCATTGGCAAGCTTAAACCCTGGTGGCATAGTCATATACACCTCTTCCTTCAAGTCACCATGAAGGAAAGCATTCTTTACATTCAACTGATGTAAGGGCCAATTCAAATTAGCTGCCAAAGAAAGAAGAATACGTATAGAGTTCATCTTGGCAATTGAAGCAAATGTTTCCAGATAATTAATTCCATAGGTCCGAGTGAAGCCCATACTTT